CCATTTGACGCGAACACCGACGCAGACTACAGGAATGACATTGCCCAATGAAAGAAAGCGCCTTGTTCTGCGTGTCTTTTTTGAAACCTGTTTTCTTGGCAGTTTTGGAGTGGCGGTTTGCATGACAGGGTTGCTCAATCGATCATATGCACACGTGGCACCTGGGCCCACACAGCCATTGGTGTCACTGGCGTTGCATTGCTTCCTGGACGCGCAGATTCTGAACCCAAACGCATTTTCTCGCAACGCAGCGGACTGGCAAAAGGTTGGACTCGTGGCAATCAAGTCCGAAGTGTTCCAATGGCACAAGCAGCAGCGCAAGGACCCGGAATGGTTGAAAAAGGGGGAGAACGTAAATTTTGGCCACGAGTTAAAAGTTCGTGGAGCACCGGCGAGGGTTGCCCTTGACCATGCAGTTCTGGATCAAGTGATACATCGCGTGGCATTTGGGCAATATTGGCCCACCTGCTTTCTCATACAACACTAGAAACCGTTTGTACGAGCTCAAGGCTTCCAGGACTTGCGGTCGCGTCATCAAGCGGCCATCTGTTTTCAAGACCATCTCGAAACTCAAGGCTGCTTTCGTTGATTCCCAGAGCAGCTTGGCGAGACTTTGTTTGTACAGACCTTGAGATTCTGCAGCTTTTGCTTCGAGCGCCGGCTGTTCACTGGCTCCAATCATTGGTTCTGTCAAATTCCAAACCTTAGGAGCGCCACATTTGACATGAATGAAGATACGATTTCACACGTTGGTTCTATCATGGAATAACCAAAATGGAAAAAACCTCAGTGATGCAACGCCGCAAAAGCTCTGAATGAAGCTGTTAAGAAGCGGTGCCTGAAAGGGTAAAAAGAGCCGCTTGAGTTTCGAGAAATGGCAAGGAAACTTGTTCAGCCAGCAAAATGGACCCGTTGAATTTCCACGCGTTCGCTCAAGCTGCCTTGGCCTGGCGGTGAACCATGTCCTTCATTGCCTCAGCCGGCGGCTGCCGCGTTCGCTGGGTGAGCTCAGGTTGGGATGCTTCCCAGCATCTAGATATAAATCCAGGGCCACATCCAAGAGTTTGACACAGCTGGCAAAGTGCGTGATTTGATGGCGCTGGACCTGTTTGCGTGCGAAGGCAAAGGCAGCGGGAGCGGAGACGGCGTCAAGCAGAACTTATTGCTCGAAGCAGGGTTCTACTGCACGCTGCGTTTGATCTTAACGCCTGGCCCCTTTGATGCGTTCAGCCATTGTCAAATTTTGGGCTTTGGGTTTTGGGTCCTCCTCAAGAAATGGGGCGCCGGCAGCGAGACTCCTTGCTGGACCGCCCTGTGGCCGATTCGTGTTGTTGAGGTGGCAGAACACGCAGACGCAGGACAAAATACGGCTCAGCAACCAGCTGGTCATCAACTTCCTAGTCCTAGCGGTTGCGCGCTCAAGATCCGTGCTCTGGCTGCAACTTGGCTATATCCCGAGCGTTGTGAAAGCAAATTGTTGACACCGTGCAAAACTGATTCATTCCCCGCCAAACCCTATGCTTAGGATAGAACAGCCGGCTACAAGCGCCCTGCGGCTGCTGCCTGAGATGGCCCGCTTTTTGGCGGATGTCAAAGCCAGCAAAGTTCACACATGGATGAGGCGCTCAAAGCCAACTGTGCTTGACGCCAACGTCTCCGAGAACTTCCTCCTACCTTTAAAGCACAACTGGAAGTGGAGTGGAGCAGGCGCATGGGCGAGGGGCTCCTGCGCAACACCGCCACCAGCCTTGTTTGGGTTTACAAGCACAAGCCTTGCAGGACGGCTGTTCGGTTCTTGGCCAACAAACCAAAAAAGATGGTGTTTCATTACAAGAGCCGCAAAGCTTCGAAACCCAGCACTCCTGGGATGTGGGTGCCGGAAACCTTGCGCAACCCGCTTCTGCAACGCTGTCCTAGTCGTGTGGTCAACCAGGTGGAAAGGAGCTCAGGAACCTTTGGTCTACCGGGGCCTCTGGTTTAAAATGTTTTGCGACGATGAGGACACCAGTTCAAAGCACTGTGCTGAGAGAGAGAGAGAGAGAGAGAGAGAGAGAGAGAGAGAGAGAGAGAGAGAGAGAGAGAGAGTAGTAGCCCTTTGCATGCCAGCGCCAGAGCAATTTGCAAGCATGTAGCATCGATCATCTGCAATTATCTCCAAAATTGGTTCAGATGAATCGGCAGGAGCAAATGCCCTGTTTGGCGCACGCTTTTTAGAAGGTGGGCGCGTCGCGTGCGCTCCAGGTATGACGAGAGGAGAACGCCTCAGACGTGCAATGTTTGTCCGGCCTGCGTTTAGGGTTGCAGACTGCCGGTTGCTTTGGGAGAGAGAGAGAGAGAGAGAGATGAAAGAAGGAGCAAAGAAAGAAAGAGAGAAAGAAATAAAGAGAGAGGGAGAGAGAGAGAAAGAAACAAAGAAGAAAAAATGAACAAAAAGGAAGAAAGAAAGAAAGAAAGAAAGAAAGAAAGAAAGAAAGAAAAGAAAGAAAGAAAGAAAGAAGCAGAGAGAGAGAGAGAGAGAGAGAAAGAAAGAGAGGGCAGAGAGCGAGAGCGAGAGAGAAGGAAACAAAGAAATGAGAAAAAGAAAAGCAAAATAAGAAATAAAGAACTAAAAGAAAGAAAGAAAGAAACAAAGAAACAAAGAAAGAAGAGAGGGATGACTTTTAGTGTTTGTTTCATATCGGCTGGCCACATGCTGTTGCTGGGCCAGAAGCAGCGCATTCATTCTCGCAGGTAGGTGGTCGTTGATGCGGCTGCGGGTCGCGCCAGGCTGCGAGCCGCTCAGTTTTGCCGTTGCGCCCCGAGCCGCGAAAGGACTTGCCGTTGATCAGCGGCATACACCTGAAGTTACAATTACTTGATAATACTAAGGGAAAGGAGAAGAAGGATGTTGTTAAAGAACAAACTCACGGCCATTCAAATGTCTAGGAGTTTGTTCCTTGTAACATTGGCAAAAACTTGCAGGATCTGAAGTCTCAGGAGCCTGAGACCCGCGCCAGCTTGGAGCGCACTTTGGCGGCGGTGGCCGCTTTGAGCCGGGCTTTGGGCGATTGAGCGCGTGCAACGCCGCCTTGGAGAAACAAATCGTTCCCAGCTGAGGGACTTGTGTCAGGCCCACGAACCTCTTAGATTCAGATATTGGTGATTTCAGTCATATATGGAAACAGGCTGACCCCAAAGCAAAACTGGCAGACAAGCGCTCAAAACCCACGCCAGCCAGCTCGTGACGGCAGGAAGCGACAGAAACGCAAGCCTGACGCGCCCGCTACTTGAAATGTTAGCCGCGTGCTACTTGCGTAAAATCGCAACCTTTGAGATACAAATTATGCCATAGTTTTTGCTTCAGTGTTTTCTGTGTGAAATGTCAGCCACATATGCAACTTGTTTAAAGGCTCAACCTTCGAGATGGCAATGCTTCAAATGGTTTTGCAGGGTCCAACAATCCATTACAAAAATAGTTTTGGGTCAAGGTCTCAGGCCTCAGTGTGTATTCAGTCGAGCTACTGGCTCGAAGCTGCTGATTCTAATCAAAGCCACTCGATCAGCTTCCGGAGTTTGAGTGTGTGATACTAACCAGGACCTCCATGGTCCATAGTCATTCGATTTGCAGCGCGCGACAGGTCTTGCGACTTGCGGCGTTTGGGCTTTGTGTGGGGTTTGCTCGCGAGGCTTGTGCGCGCCCGGGAACTTGCGAGCCGCCGTTTTGGGCGCCAATCGTGCCGTTTCTCGGACATCAGCCACATGTGCGGCTACGCCGCGCGTGCGTGCGATCTAAAAAATGGATGCGTCGCATCTGGCGCGCTCCAAAATTGCCTCCAACGCGCTGGCTCCAAAAAATGGATGTGATGGTGGTGCGGGTTGCAGTTGCGTGACATGTTTCACTCGACATACCTTTCGTTGCTCGTGTGGTGAAAACAGCCTGCGCTACCACTGCCAGTGCTTCGCAGATGTCCTCAATTTGTGTCAGTTTAGTCTGCATCGTCGAGTCGTAGGATGTGTGCGCTGTGTGGCATTGCGCAAGAGATTGTGCACGTTGGGTCGGTCAGCCATGGGAACCATCTTGCGTTCCTTGTCCTGGATCTTTGGACTTGTGATATCCAGTTCACCGTGAAAGCTTCCTGTCCGTGTGGATGTGGTTCCTGTGCCGGGGGCTGTGGCAAGTTCTTGCAAATCTCGACGTGGGACATGATCTTGAGTTCACTAACTATCGTGCTTGTTGAGTGTGAGGATCCCGTGTGGAAGACGGATCGGTAGCCGGATTTTGTTTGATTCTTCCCGAAGTTCTTGAGCGTGGGAGAATCAGTGTCATCCTGTAGTAGAACTCCGCCGCTCTGTAATCTCGCACGGATTGAACTTGAGTTCAGCAAGAGATGCCGATCATCGAGATATTTTTCTTGTCAGAGAGCATGGTGAAGCCGGTCGACTCTTGCTTGCAAAATTGGTTGATGAAGTTGCTGATTGGCGCCCTCACTGGCATTTGGTTTTTTATGAAAGAAGTAGTCAGGTTCCTTGCTTTACCGCTGAACTGACGGCTATGTTGGACAGTTTCCCCCCCCGGCCCAATTTAGAACGCACCCTTGCTGTTGGATTTGTATTCTGGTTGCCGCGGGGAGCCTAACTGGCACAGCAGGGGCGAACTGGCGCATGATTGGAACAAATGTGCTACACCGAGCCACGCAAATCGCGTTTCCTGTCGCTGTGGGGCTGGCGGCTGGCTCCTACTCGTGCTTCGTTCTCTTAGGCTAGTCAGAACCTATGAGTATTTGGAATTGTGCTGCCCCCCTCTGAACAGCGACCATCAACTTCTTGCTCACGTTCAGCCACGGCGTTTCGACGGTGCTGGGGCTTCCTTCTTGAACTGTCCACGGGAGGAGCAGTCGCAGCATAGCCTGCAACGCGTCGAGTAACAAATTCCGTCTCAGACACGTGGAGCGCACGTGCACAGATTCGCATGTGGTGAAGTTGATAGCTTGCCGCACCGGATACATGTGCACGACGGGCAGGCCATCAGGTCCGGTGCGGCCCCTTCTACTTTCACGCAGTTTGGGCCTCATGGGATGTGGGCAGCACACGGAGACTGTGATCGCCATGAGGCCCGGCTACATTGCCACAGGAGATCGCCCGCTCACTCGGTTTGCAGAGACTTTGCATCACTTTTTGCTACTTTTTGAAACGAACACTACTTAACGCTTTTTGGAAAGACGCCCAAGGTTGAGCCCTGGATGTTTCCCGGCTGGGGCCTGAGTCAGTGCGCTTGGGCTTGGGCTTCCGCTTGGGCTTCCTGGGCTTGCAGGCATGGAAGCGCTGCCGGAAGGCGCCATGAGGAGCGAAGCGCAAGCGCTCGCAAATTGGCTTCGCAAGTGACAAGTCAGTGACAAGTGGGAAATCGGAATGAAATCGGAATGAAATCGGAGTGATTTGGATTCAATCTTCGGCCTATGCCGTGGATCTTTGGAACTTGGCAGGCTCACGCCAGTAGATGGAGTGCCACTTCCCCGCCCTGTGGCACATCCCAGGACCTGATGCGTTCGCGCGTGCATGCTGCAGCTCAGAGTATGTTTTTGGGAAAGGTCGGAGGGTTTGTCTGGACATTGAGAGAAGGTTCCCAGACCCTTCAAGATTAGCTTTGGTATACACAGCGCTAAAGTTTGGCACTCGAACAATTGTATGTCTCTTGCGTGAGGCATGTTGTCATCGAAGGGCTAGCAGCTGGCAAAGGGGTTGGCAACGGCGTGTGCCACGCGCTTCTTGATCAAGCGCCACTCATCCGGCAAGTGCTTCAAATCGCAAGAGCACTCAAGGTACAGACTTGTCTCTGAGTCGAATGGCAAGCCAGTGTGCAGGACTTAATTGACACATTTCAAGGATCGGCAGTCGCATCTCACGGCAGGTACAACAAGGCGGATGCTGTGCGCGCCGCATCGTGGCCTGCTTGCACTAGAGCGCAGCTGAAGAGAACGGACAGCTTTTTGAGGCTGTGGTTTGCGCGTGGCGATTGGCGCATCGGACCTTCCGTTGAAGACGGAAGAGTTTGGGCTTCCTGAATGCACATTATGCAGGACTTCCAGACTTCCAGACTTCCCAGCTTTCCGCAGCGCTGGCCAGGCTCATGCCACTGCGGACTTGCCATCCGACGCAAGCTGGAAAGCCGACGATGGTTCTGCAGAGGAGGAGTGCAGGAAACGCACAGGCCGGGTGAGTTGGCAATCGCCAGGTGCGAATTCTTGATGCAAGAGTGGCAAGGGCCTTAGGCAGACTGTTGCGGGTGAATGTGGGTCACAGACTCAAGGCTATACCACACAGCATCACGATCAGCGGCACCGAATTTGACGGGCTCCAAGACACAAGGTCTTTTGTGCGTCCCAAGAGCAAGAGTTAGGTGCAGGAGAGCCGTCTTTGTGATGCTCGGCCAGTCTACGGAGCCACCTTGCCAAAGGCAAGGCCACGTTGGTAAGACTCGGGACTTGAATTCAGTCAGGCAACCAGTGGGGATGCGAAGGAAGCTATAAAGGCCCAGACGCATTCAGCGCCGCGTTTTTCGCTTTTCGCTTTTCGGAGGTGTTTCTCTATTTCAGAGCCCATGAATCCGAATGGTGGCTGGGTCCAGAGGCCCGGGCAACCAGGTGATATCTTTTGATATCTCTTGATATCTCTTGATATCTCTTGATCTTAGGTCGGGGGAAGCGAATGCCTGGCCCGGGCCAGGGGGCTGGAAGCTTGGCTCCCGATTCCCGATATCATTTTTCATCTCGGCATCCAGGTCGCTCTTCCACGTCATTCCACCAGAGACTTTGAAGTGGCACATGGAAGCCATGGAAGCCACGGAAGTGGAAGCCATGTCGCCCAGAGGTCCGTCGGTCCGTCGGAATCTGGATGTGATTGGCCAGCGTCAGATTGTCAGGCTGGCTTTTGCCAGAGAGCGACCTCGACATCAAGCCACTTTGCTGCACGGGTCGGGCTCTATCAGGCTCTGTCGGGCTCCTGGATGGAGAGGCGACTGATAGCTGTTTATAGAACAAAGACACCCTCCGCACAAAAAGGACACCCTCTTGACCGCCTGGCTCCCCAAACTGTAGAGAATTGCAGGCCCGACGTTACTTGAAACTCTGCATTTTGCGCAAGGCCTGATGAGGTTCCTGACATTTCGAGCTTCTTGGGGCTTGCGGCAGCCCCAATTTGACACATCTCAATCGTCTCAAAGAGCGCAAGTGGCAAGAGGTGTGCTCCTTGGCGACGGCAATGAGCGGCATAGCGCTTTGGAGCCTTCGCGGGTCTTGGATCACAGGCAGGGCTCCACGCTTGCCACTTGCTGATCGCTGACTTGAGCTTTCTAAATTCCCCCGCAATTGACCATAGTCTTGGTAAGCCACTCGCGCGTAAGCTTCTCTTACAGCCGCGGAAGCCCCTGCGATTGTCAGTATTTTGCACCGCCAATAAATTGGAACCATGCTCACTTGGAATCGTCGCTCCCTGACCAGGGGCAAAGAAGAGTCGAAGTCACCAAAGCAAGCGGCAAGCTTACTTTTGACCGGACTGGAGAGAGTCGAGCTTCAAATTCAAGGTCGGAGACGGAGCTGGCGTGTGTCGTTTGCCTCGAGGCTGTTGAGGGACCGAGTGTGCAATTTTCTACTTGCAAGTACAAAGCGCATTGCTATTCTGAGAGCACGGCAGTTGTCCTATGTAGCAGGCGCCAAGGCAAATTCTGCTGATGCCCTGCCGACACGTTTGCTGCTGCAAGGCAGGGGGCGAGTTTGTTTGTCTCAGCGCTACACTTTGAGCCGAAGTTTCCAACCGCGACTCGACAGTCTTGAATTTTTGCAGGAGTGCTCGGAGCGCTTGGAGCGCTGCCCTATGTGCCCGGAGCCAATGGAGCCAATAGAATTGGTGACGGAGTCAAGACTTGATTCTGTCAACTGCCAAGGCCGAACTGAGACTACTAGCTTGGCAGAAGTCTTTTTGTGAGGGCTCGCAGTAGGTGCAAGCTTGATCAGGCAGGTTGAATTTGAGCGCCAGTGTTTTGCTTTGAATGTGGCAAAGCTGGGGCCGCGTTGTCTCAGAGTCTCACACTGTGTCCTGGGAATAGCTCGAGGCAGTTCAAATCTCGTGCTTGACCTTTTGTGTAGCCCTCTTGGAGCACTCGACCTGACTCGATTGCATCTGTTTTTTAGGCTTCGTACCTGCCAGTGCCAGAGCCGAGAAAGATACGTGGAGATTGTATGCCTGGAGTGAACGCACAATTTTTCCATTGAGAAAGCACCCAGAAACACACCAACAAAGAAGCAATTGCACAAGAGTGCAAAGACATGGATGGATGGATGGATGGATGGATGGATGGATGGATGGATGGATGGATGGATGGATGGATGGATGGATGGATGGATGGATGGATGGATGGATGGATGGATGGATGGATGGATGGATGGATGGATGGATGGATGGATGGATGGATGGATGGATGGATGGATGGATGGATGGATGGATGGATGGATGGATGGATGGATGGATGGATGGATGGATGGATGGATGGAGAGACAGATAGATACCATATATATATATATGGATAGATAGAGAGATAGATAGATAGATAGGTAGAGAAGGATGGATAAAAAGGACTTGGATGGATAGATTGATAGACAGACGTAGCGAGACAGACAAAGCGATAGACAAATTCACAAATCGATTTAGATAGTTAGATGACGGAAAGCGCTTTGCGCTTGGTACGACGCCCTGGGGGTCCTAGGACCTAGGGGGATCGCGTGCGCAAGGTGATTTGCAGGCCGGTCGAAGCGGCCATTCGGACGCTGCCGCTGATATCCGCTGATCAATTTCCCCCGTTTCCCCGAAGCCGCGGCCTCACGAGTGCCTGAAGATGGGCCAATGAGATCTCTCCGAACCGCCCGTCTCAGGAAGCACCCTGACTCGCATTCCGGCCAAAGCATTTCGCGCGCGGGACTCGCCACGGATTTGTTCTTTGCGCATTGCGCGCGCGGTGTGAACAGCTGCCCGCTGAATCTGCGCGGGAGTGGAGGAGTGGAGAATGGAGAAGCGGAGCAGCGGAGCAGTGGAGGAGTGGAGCGCTTGCGCGCCCGCAGTTCGTGAACGTGTCGGAGTATATTGCGCGCTGGTGTGTTGGAGGTGGCGCGGGATGTGTCTTGGACGCGGGGTGTCGTGTGTCGGGTGTCGGGTGTGTTGGGGATGTGTCGGGAACATGTCGGCGAAGCCGCTCAAGGACGATGGGCGCTGCAAGATGCACGCGTGCGCCACAGCGTTAGCGCAGGCCCACAACGGGCCTAGGATATCGCGGCGCAGCACCAACACCGCAGTTGCAAAAGGGGGCGCTTTCGGGCAACACACCGTTTGCCCTGACCGCTTGACATTGTCTGGTTATTACAACTTCAGGGTAAGCAATTTCAGAGACTATCCGATCTACGGAATTTGGTAGGCCTTCTCCAATTTTGGCTCGGGCCCTCGCAGTTGGAGGCGCAGACGCCTTAGGCGCAGAAGTTAAATTTGGCAAGTTTATATGTTTATATTTATAAGAACAACAGCCTCAAATCTTGCAGTGATGGCTTGATTGCTGTAAGCATTTAAGCTACATACAATAATATAAATACAGCAATGAGCGATTTCCACAGATGTTTGTTGTTCCGCAAAAATATGTTTTGCACTCGCTCACACGTAGACTGCATACTCCATCAAAGACAACTGCGTGTTCTTCCGCAGCTTGCCAACGCGGGAAAGCTTGGCAAGAGATGCAAGGATAGTGCAGTAAGTGGCTTTAGGATAGCCTGAAAAAGCTAGCGGGCAAAATCATAATTCAGCAACGGAATATCCTTGGGGAAGTTGTCGACTGGTTGATCACATTGGGTTGCTTCAATCACACTCTAGTTTTGACACAACCGGAAATTCGATCCAGATCTCAGGCCAAGAAAAAAGGATGTTTGCAAATTGCTCCACATGTTTCAATGAATCAACCACCATCCAAGCTATGATCAAGCTGAAATTTGATAACTTGTATTTTGCAGCGTCGGCTCAGCTGTCGCTCTTGCTTGTTTCTCCGTCATGGACAAGGCAGAGCACGCATGCGACGCCATCAGAGCCCGATCCTGTGCTCAGGTGGCGCCTGTGGTTGGCGGCCTTGCCGGCCTTTGGGCAGCCTACAATGTGCGCTGCATTTTGCGCATTTTGCCCATGATGTGTCACAATGTTGTCACGATGTGTTCTTAAGTCCTTACCCTTGCAGAGTGCATTCATGTTTGTTTCCCCTTGCAGATTGTGCCAGTGCTGTACCGATGGGAACTCATCCCGGGAGACCCAGACTTACCATATTTTCAATGAGTGCACGAGGCGTTCAATATTTTTGTTCACATGACTCAGGTTGCATCAGAGGAATGGTGGGCAAGGGCAAAGACAATTCGCTATGACCACTATTCTGAGGAACGGGACGCACTGCACTGGCAAAATATGACCCGAGCATCGGGATACGGCTCCATACGGCTCCATACGGCTCCATACGGCTCCATACGGCTCACGTGTAGGGCATCGTGTACTCGCCTTACGACACGGGTGATCCGATCCGCGAGATGCCGGAGCAATGCAAAGGCGGTTTGGGCGGTTTGGGCGGTTTGGGCGGTTTGGGGTCGCTCCGAGCCAATGGCTTGAAGTGCGCAGGCAAGATGCTGCTACGACAGAAACGTGGCGGGTGGAAGCTTCAGAGTGAGATGGAGGACCATGCCTTCCATGGGAGTGAGTCAGAGAATGGTGTGCCAGGAGTAGATGCAGCTCCTGGCAATTTGCGTTTGAGAGTGAACAATATGCTACCAGTGTGACATTCGTCGGGGTTGGCGACTGAACAGCTTTGTGTTGTGAATGCTCCAGGCAGATCTTGTTGCAGAGCCAGTTCTGGCAGCCAAGCATAGACGTGCATATGTGCTTTTTGCTCAATGCAAAGCACATTTCAAATTCGCCAGTAGAGCAGCAATTCCAAGTGAGCTTGCAACAGCAAACACAGCAAGAGCAGAGAAACCAAAGCTTCTCAGAAGCCAGCGACACACCCAGTGTGTGAGCACCGACAACGGTAGTGGCAACAACAGCCCCCTTCGCCGCCAATTTGCACGGCCGTGTAAAAGTACTGCATAGATATATTTGCTTCAAGCCGTCGATTTCTTGGGCAAATGTTCATCAAAAGCAACGCCATCCATGTATTCAATTTGTCAGCCAACGCGAGCACCCCTGTGAGCACAACATGTTGCTGGTCAGTGCTCTACGAAAAACACCTTCGTGGCACGCGCGCAACAATTGGGAAAACACCCTATTTGCACAAAACACAGTGGCACGCCGTCCGCATGATACCGGTATTGGTATTGCCGAAAGCGACCAACAAATTGATGGAATCCCCATGGCCGCGAAAGGGCAGCAACTGCAATCGCCCGCAAATATTTTGTTTTCTAGGAGCATTGCAGTCATTTGCGGTTTGTTCAGCGTTGCAGAGAATGACAGGCTTCAGAAGCCGAAAACCAATCGTGGAGCTTTTGCCCATGCGCTCTGGGAACTCCGGAAAGCTTTACTTGGAAAGCTGAAACCCCCGAAGGACTTCCCCGAAGGACTTCCCCGAAGGACTTCCCCGAAGGACTTCCCCGGACTTTAGGCACCTTGGGCAACCCTCGTTACAGTCTGCCCTGTGAGCCGAGCGGAGTGTGACGGGCTTCCATGACCTGGCGGAGCGCGCTTATCACGGGCGCGTCCCTCGGGGCCAAGCTCGTCACTTTCTGAGCGCTTCAAGCTGAGGTGGGTTGATCGCGTGGCTATCATGGCTGTGGTTCAGGCCGTGATGCACCGCCATTGCATGAAGCGATGCCACCGTAGGTACCCGCAGGTAAGCAAAAAAGAAATCTTGGCAGCGCTGGAGCGATGGACGGCTGAGTGTCGTGCTGCGCAGGCCTAAGTGATGGTCTTTCCCTGCCGGAGTCGCCGTGCATTTTTGCCGTGAGACGCTCAGGTTTTTGCTGAGATCGCTGCAGTGACACAGGCGAAGGAGGCGAAGGAAAGCGGAGAGGAGCCTTTCAGTGAGGCGAACGCTGTCCAGTCTCAGCTCTCCCCCGTTCGCTACGCCGCTACGCTGCTATCGCTAGGTGCTGGATCAGCCGTTGCTCCTTGCGCACGGGCTTCGCTCCGCTGCAGCGCATGCGGCTTTGACGTTGCCAGGACCGCTGCAGTTCCCAGGCATTCGGCATGTTTGGCATATTTTGGCATATTTTGGCATATCTTGGCATATCTTGGCATGTCTTGGCATATCTTGGCATATCTTGGCATATCTTGGCATTTGTGATTGCCAGGAGACTTTTCCGGAGAAGACTTGGAGACTATCTTCCACAGTTGCGTGCCATGCGTGGCAAACATCTTGTTTTTTCATGTTGGTCGAATTGTCAAGCGGCGTTAATCAAACTTGCGCTCAGGTTATTCAGATGAGCCGCAGGTTCGCAGAGTCCTCTCCGACATGCAACAGCAGCACGAAGCTTGCCTGGAGGGCGTCATGCTGCCAGGCAGTTTGGGAGCAAGACAAGACCGAGTAAGACCGAGTCTCTGAGTGGTGCTCGGTGACGTGTCACCGGTGTCACCGTGTAGGAGAGAATTGCTGGCTTGCGCATGACCGCGCGCGAGACGCCGAAGCAATACTCCGAGTCTTGCGGGACCTGGGATCTCGTCGCGCATCAAAGCTGGCACAGCTGGACCAGGCTTGAGCAAGTCCAGCATGTGCTCAAATATGGGTTGAAGTCTGGCCAGGTCAAGGGATCCTTGGCTGCAAATGGGATTTTGTTTCACTTGTTTCACACTTTTGCTTGTTTTACCTGACTTGTTTTGCTTTCCAAATGGTTTTGAGTTTGAAGGTGGCCTTGGGCCTGCAATGATGAGATGCTGCGAGGAAGCCGAGGAGGAGTTCTGGGCAGAGAAGTTCCCTGGGAACGAGCGCGGAGCACAGCTCCGAATGTGCGAACCCGCGAACTCGCGCACCTGACTTTGGCGATCCAAGGATCGCCAAGCTGTCCTTTGGTCCGGCAGTTGCGACGTTCTTGGCAAACGCCAGCTTCAAAGACCGCTGCTCACAACTGGAGACCGAGCCACGGATAGAACTCTTCGGAGGGGTATTTATTTTGGGTTTTTTTTTTGTTTTTTTTTCGCTTTTGGCTTCTTGGCTTTTCGGCTTCTTGGCGTCTTGGCTTTTCGGCTTCCTGGCTTCTCGGCTTCTGGGCTTCTGGGCTTTTCGGCTTTTTGCTGGTTTATGCGGCTTTTGATGGCTTTTTGGCCGTTCGCATCATCTGCATTCCCAGTTCCTCTTCGGCAGGTGGCGTTTTCGCTTTTGCGGCTTTTCGCTGGTTTATGCGGCTTTTGATGGCTTTTTGGCTGTTCGCATCATCTGCATTCCCAGTTCCTCTTTGGCAGGTGGCGTTTTCGCTTTTGTGGCTTTTCGCTGGTTTATGCGGCTTTTGATTTGGCTGTTCGCATCATCTGCATTCCCAGTTCCTCTTCGGCAGGTGGCGTTTTCGCTTTTGCGGCTTTTCGCTGGTTTATGCGGCTTTTGATTGCTTTTTGGCTGTTCGCATCATCTGCATTCCCAGTTCCTCTTCGGCAGGTGGCGTTTTCGCTTTTGCGGCTTTTCGCTGGTTTATGCGGCTTTTGATGGCTTTTTGGCTGTTCGCATCATGGTTCCTCTTCGGCAGGTGGCGTTTTCGCTTTTGCGGCTTTTCGCTGGTTTATGCGGCTCGCATCATCTGCATTCCAGTTCCTCTTGGCAGGTGGCGTTTTCGCTTTTGTGGCTTTTCGCTGGTTTATGGCTGTTCGCATCATTCCTCTTTGGCAGGTGGCGTTTTCGCTTTTGGCTTTTAGGCGCTGTTTTTGCGCTTTGGCTTTTCGCTGGTTTTGCGGCTTTTGATGGCTTTTTGGCTGTTCGCATCATCTGCATTCCCAGTTCCTCTTCGGCAGGTGGCGTTTTCGCTTTTGCGGCTTTTCGCTGGTTTATGCGGCTTTTGATGGCTTTTTGGCTGTTCGCATCATCTGCATTCCCAGTTCCTCTGCGTTTTCGCTTTTGCGGCTTTTCGCTGGTTTATTTTGGCTTTTTGTTCGCATCATCTGCATTCCCAGTTCCTCTTCGGCAGGTGGCGTTTTCGCTTTTGCGGCTTTTCGCTGGTTTATGCGGCTTTTGATGGCTTTTTGGCTGTTCGCATCATCTGCATTCCCAGTTCCTCTTCGGCAGGTGGCGTTTTCGCTTTGCGGCTTTTCGCTGGTTTATGCGGCTTGTGATGGCTTGTTTGGCTGCTCGCATCATCTGCATTCCCAGTTCCTCTTCGGCAGGTGGCGTTTTCGCTTTTGCGGCTTTTCGCTGGTTTATGCGGCTTTTGATGGCTTTTTGGCTGTTCGCATCATCTGCATTCCCAGTTCCTCTGCGTTTTCGCTTTTGCGGCTTTTCGCTGGTTTATGCGGCTTTTGATGGCTTTTTGGCTGTTCGCATCATCTGCATTCCCAGTTCCTCTTCGGCAGGTGGCGGTTTGGCTTTTGCGGCTTTTCGCTGGTTTATGCGGCTTTTGGCGGCTTTTGGCGGCTTTGGCTTTTCGCATCCTGCGGGCTTTTTGGCTATTGGTTTTGGGATTTGGCTTCCCGCATCATCAGCATCACCACCACCCTGTTTGAATCATCACTTCTTCGGACATCATGGGGGGGGGAACCCCTACCCCAACCCACCCGCTACTGTTTAGATTGTTTGCAGAGTAATTGCACCCCTATTTGAATCAACTCTTCTTCAAACATCATGGGGGGTTGCCGCCTCCCCCCCGATGCTTTTTAGACTTCTCGCAGAGATTGAATTGCACCCCTGTTTGAATCATCACTTTTTCGAGCGTCCAATTTCGCGAGAAAATGCTGCCATATACGACATTTTAGGTAATCTGTGTAATCCATGTATGTCTGTATGTATGCATTTCTTCGAACATCATGGGGGAAGCCGCCCCCGCCAACCCTCCCGCTGCCATTTAAATTCTATCACACCCTTTCTTGAATCATTGCACCCCTACTTGAATCATCACTTCTTCCGACATCATGAGGGGGGCTGCCGCCCACCCCAACCCCCCGCTACGTTTTAGATTTTCTGCAGAGGTTTAATTAATTGCACCCCTAGTTGAATCATCAATTCTTCGAACATCATGGGGGGTGCTGCCGTCCCCCCCCAACCCCCCCGCTACTTTTTAGACTTTTGCAGAGATTTAATTGCACCCCTATTCAAATCATCAACATCATGGGGCCGCCCCCTGTGTTCTGTTTTTCAGACCATTGATCTCCCGCAACATTTGGCTCAAGGGCCCCTTTTGTAGATCACAATCATCCGTGATAGCGTGTGACAAAAGAGCCTCAGCAGGCCGCTTACAGGATTATCCACAAGACAATCCACCAGGGACAATCCATCCTCCAATCATCCACACTGGCATGTTGGATTCTTTTCGGAATGGATCCAGGGACCAACAACGACCTCAACCACCACAGGGTTCCAGTTCCCTCCGGGGATAGGCACCTGGGGCAGCGGGCCTCAATTTGTGGTAGCGGAGCAGGTTTTCCGCAGAGATCTCATCCGATGGAGAAGGCTTCATGGAAGCCTATACAGTATGGCCAAGCCGAGCTATACGGAGGAAACACTAAATTTATCGATGACCGCCAAGCAGCCGCCACCGTACGACGGAAAAGTCAGCTGGTTCAGGTGCGAGGAACTCGTGGACAACTGGGTGACCATCACCACAGTAGAAGCATCCAAGCGAGGTCCATTGATTCAGAGCAGACTCACTGGAGATGCTTACATGTACAAGTCAACTATTTCAAGAACACGCTGAAGAAGTACTTTTGGAAGGTGCGACCAACGTGTATCTGCACAGACTCCTCAGTTTCTTCAATCATCGGAGGCAGAACCAAGAGTTCCTCATTTTTACTTCAAAATTCGATATCCTACTAATGAGACTGAAGGCAGCACGGATGGACTTGATGCCAATCTTTACGGCACAGTCTCCATCATTTCGACAGTCCGTGCAGGACGCAAATGCAAGAACAATTGCTCGACATCAGCAAGCAGCCGGTGTTCGAGCACCGCCTCCAGCCCTGCTCAATGAGGACGATCCGACAGTCCTCAGACAGTATATCCAAGGAATGCAGGACGCATTTCCCTTCAAAGATAATCTCATTGCACAGTTTTTCATTATTCAAAGTGAGTTGTCAGATCAGCAACGAGAAAGACTGACAAGTGCAATGTTATTAAGAAACATCTCACTTGAGAATTATTCCTATGAGATGCTGAAGACGCATTACCATGAACTCTTCATCACGACGAGGACATCGATCCAAGATCCATCCATCCGACCTCAAGGAGGCAGCCGAAGCAACACATTCTTCATCATCGAACAAGGTGAATACGAAGGAGAAGAAGGCTTCTGGGTTGAGGATGAAGAAGGACTTGAAGGATTCATGTCAAACAACGATGAAGAGACGTTCTGGGTCCTCGAGGAGAACGATGCGTTCATAGCAAGAAAAGTGTCGGGCGGAACTTCAAGTTCAAGAAGAGAAAAATCAGGAGGTCACCAACGAGGTGGCTTTAAACCCTTCAGAAAAAGCGGTTCTGGCGGAAAGGCCAATATGGCCAACGAAAACTATGATCCCTACGACCAGGCATATCGGGGAAAAGACAAAGGAAAGAAGGGAAAGAAAGGAAAATCAAAATTCCAATATCCCTATGATGGAAACAAAGGTTATCCATCCTATGAGAGTGGTAAAGGAAAGAGCGGGCAGGAGAAAGGAAAATCCAAGACGTTCGCAGCCACCGCAGAAAAGACGAGGAGCAGCCCGCCACCCAGCAGACTGCACCATAGAGCCTACCTATGCCGGTTGGACAGACCAAGATTGGGATCAATCATGGACATGGAATGAACAAGGCTGGTACTCATCTCATGAGACATCCAGCACAGGACAAGCGTTAATGGCATTCCATGATGCATATGAGCATCCTGGGAAAAAGGCCATCCACAAGAAGCTGATCCAATCAGATACAGTTTCAGAACACAATCTGTCCGTAACAACAAATCACAGCCTTCTGGCAACAAAGCTGATGGCGCCTGTCATCAACCCTCAGCACAACCCGACCTATGCGATTCTGGACAATGGATGTACCAGATCTATGGGCAGCTGGCGTGCAATCCATGTTCGGATGTCCACGGGAGTCCCAACCTTAAGACCTGATAGTGCGCAGCATTGACTGAATCTGGCACTTCCTGCAAAGATCTCGAGAACGTGGATCTAGCTTTCCCTTACGTACACAATTCCAATGTGCTTGTTCAGGAATGGATGTGAGGTCCTCGACGAACATGTTCTCTGCTGGATGAGGCACTGCAGGTTTTGGAGTTGTTTTTCCCGCGATACGTAATGGCACTGAGGATCTTGGCTTAGGAGCTGGTGCGGATGATTCCTTTTTCTTGGTAGCTACAGAGGAGCCTGATTGCTCCTTCTGCAAGGATTCTCGCTCTTCAGGTAACAGAAGGTCAATTCCGGGTTTCCCCGGAGGGATGGTCTCATCCTTCCTGAGCTTCGTCATGTTAACCTTGATGAGTCGAGTCCCAAGATCAAGTCCTACCATCGCTCCTTCAATGGAAATGACCTTTCCCTTTAGCCCTCTTCCTCCCTTGCTTCCATCGGAACGAATCTTGGATTTTTCTTCCTGCCAGTAGAATACCTTGTCCTTCACCTGAAGAGGCTTTGAACTCATTCGGAGATTTTGAGCAAGGTCTCGTCGGATGTCCTCGGATTGACGTGCTTCTTGGAAAGCTTGCTTTGACAGCTGCTTGACCTGGATGGCTGTCATCTCTTCTTCATTCCTGTCAATCGTCAACTGAGTTGGTGTTGCGACATCGAGTTGGATGAGATCTGCTGGTCGTCTTCCGAATGCGAGCTCCAATGGTGTTACACCCCCGTAGGTGACGGTCTGATTCCTGACAGTTGCAGCGGCCTTCACTAGCTGCCTGTATGTCACTTTCTTCAGTGTTGCAGGTGCAGTACCTGCTTTGATGGAACTTAGCATGATCTTGAGTTGTGC